GACTTGTGCCGACACTCCGTATCCGACATTTGGGCAAAACTATAACACCTGAAAAGGTGGCGGTTGTCAGGGCTCAGGAGTACATAAAAAATGATGGACTTTTGATTGTCCCGGATTTGGTCAGTATATATATCATATCTAAAATCATATATCGTTTCATTACTTCACTAATAACACAGGGATTTCTATACGATTTGAACTTTTTGGCACTTATTAGAGGCAATACTCTTCTGTTAAATAAATTTATGGCGAGAATTGATAAATATGTTGAGCTATATAAATGTGAACTGGGTATTTATTAATCAAAACTAATTAGGGTTAACCAATACTTTAATAACAGATATTTTATAGACACCTCTGATTACGTGGATAACTATTTGACAGCCATTTTCTACAGAGGAGTTATATTCAGACATTTAGCTGATTATGAAAAGGCCAGAGAGCATCTACAAATTATTATTGATCTGTAAGCAAATTATTTAACTTGTTACATTATTAACTGATAATCAATTTAATTACAAATGTCATTAAATAATAATCTCTGCCCTTATCAAGTGAATCACGTATTGGCAATCAGTTCTCACTTCCAGCCCAAGCCTACTGTGAGCTTGGTATTATTGAGTTTGAGATGAACAATACTGATAAAGCCATTGATTTGCTTAACAAATGTATTAATGACTATACGGGGTATATGAACGAGAATTATGTGCATGTTAAAGCATTTGCAACACTCAGACGACTGGGTCTTTACACTGAGAAACAGGGCATTGATGACCAGAAATGTATGTTTGTATTGTAAAATGTGTTATCAAGTTAAAATGTATTCATGAATTGATTTAGTGGAGGAATACAAAAAACAATGGCTTAAAAACATTAATATTGACGAAAAAAGTTATGAAAAAGTTTTGGAAACCGAAGACAAAATTGAAAAATAAAATGTATTGAGAGCGCAGACCACTATTTCATGGCCATGCTAATTATTAATTAGAATAATATTGTTATTATGTTAGAAATTACCTAGAACATGTATTAATTATTAATATGTTACTTAATAGTAATATAAAAATTTCCAAAGTTATTCTTATCAGCTTTGTAATAATGTTTGTAATTGGCATCTAAAGCAATTACTATTTAAATTAATTATGTAGATTTGATAATCAATTGAAATTATTTATAAATAAAATTCGTAAGTTTTATTATTATTCATATAGAAAATACTTTAAATAATGTTAAGTATTAAGTATAATACATTAAGTATAAATAATTAAATAAAACTTATTTAATAGCATTTGCCAATTAATAAGAATAATAGTTTTTATTGTATATTTAGGTGTTGTCGGACTAATTTGCGTAATTGTATAACTTTTTAATTATAATTTATATTACTTATCTTTCGCAATGATTCATTACAAATATAATATTAGTACAAAATAGTACATAATCGCACGTGTACAAATTAGTACATTTTAATTATTAAATTAATACCATTAATTATAGAGTAATTAGCATAAATTTATATTTTGTTAAACTAATACCCGTTAATTAAGTATAGGTATTTATGCCTAATTACTTATTTTTATTTTAATGCTTAATTAGTATATAAGATTTTTTTATTTAAATAAAAAACTTAAGAAAATCTTTTACTATTAGTTTCAATAATTTTTCTATTATTTAGTCGATTTTCAAAAATGAAAAGGTATGTATTATATCATAATATAAACAAAATATTTCTATACAACTAATATATTTTACTTATTTTATGATGTATTTAGCGATCACTTGCCTATCGATGAGTCCATACGTTTGGCGAATGAAGAGTTTGAAGACGTGATGGAAAGCAATGATGTGGTCAAAGGGTTGGCCACTATTGAGCCCTATAGGGAGCAGAGTGTTTACCACAGCTTTATTAGGTGTCTGTATCTCATAATGACTGCAATGACTTCCGTCGAAAAGGTGGACATAGAAGCGGCACAACAATCAGTCAACGATTCGATCAAAATATGCAACAAATACCGAAAGACTGGTTTAGTATTAAGTGTTATGAAAATGATTAAAACACCTAATTATGAGAAATACACTGATTGTGAGTTATTAATGTGTACAAATGCTATATAAAAAGTTTTATAAAAACTATAATATCTCATTAGTGGAAGTGCATGCTGAGCTAATTCACACATTAAGCCTAGGCTTGAGTGGACTGGTATTAGCCATCGAAACTAACAACATTTTNGTGGACTGGTATTAGCCATCGAAACTAACAACATTTTTGCCTTGGTCAAACTAGCTTATCGGTTGCAAAAGTTTGTCAAAAATTTAAGGTAAAATCAATGTTTTAATTAATTTAAATTGAAAGTTAATTATTTCTAATGCATACTTACTGTGCATATAATAACACATTGAATAACAGTTATTGCAAACAAATACTGAGGACCCGTTCCCAATGGGAAAGTGAGACATCGAGGCTTACTTTCGAGGGGGGTGTTAGAATGAGCACCGGCTTCTCACACCTGGCTATCAGTAATACTCCGCCAAAGATACTACGGATCATTAACTTTTTGGGTATCAGAGGTGTTGAGAGTGTCGGATGGGCGCAGATCAACAAGGTCGCTTTTGAGTTACCTGCATTATTCAGTCAGTTAGCCAGGCTGTTTCGGATTCTATGCTGGACATATGGGGATACACACGGGGGAATGGGTCCCATAAATATAGACATATGCACTCAACTACTAGATAAGGAGCTGAACAAATATCCTAAAGTTTGTGATATAATCTACTAATGTTTACAACAAATTGTGTAATCATTTTATGTGTTATTATTATTATTAAAGAATTTAATGCTAAATATATTCCGGGCAAAAGTGGAGCAATTAAATGGCAAAATAGATTCGGCCATTGAATGGTACCTCAGATTACTGGATGACCCACACGTAACACCAAGGCGATTTTTATATTTCGAGTTAACTTGGTGCTATGCATTACAATCTAATTGGGATACATGTATTGAATACGCGGAAAAGTTTCGCACCGGTAGCTTATATACACCGGCCATCGCTACATACATGGAAGCTGTGTTCAGATACGCTAAGAGTGCAATTAATGATGACCAGGATGAAAAACAAAAGGCAACTGAACTATTCGAGTAAATATCAAATATTTAAAATTAAATCTTAAGATTTATTAATTAATAAAATATTGTTTTAATGCAAGACTTGTGCCGACTCTTCGGATCAGACATTTGGGCAAAACTATGACACCGGAAAAGGCGGCGATTGTGAGGGCACAGGAGTACATTAAAAATAATGAGCAACTCATTCTGCCGGATGTGGTACCTTGATAATTAATAATTAATGTATATTCTCCAATTATAATAACTTTTATTTATTTAGGCAATACTTTACGACATGAATTATATGCTTTGTATTAGAGGCGATACGGTATTGTTGAATAGATTTCTTGATAGAATTAATACATGTGAACATCACTATAAATCTGATCTGGGTACATAAAAATACAAAGATTTTTATTGTCTGATTAATTTGCTTTATTTATTAATATACCATAGATTCATCAGATTACTTAGATAACTATTTAACAGCTATTTTCTACAAAGGAGTTGTATTGAGATATCTATCGCAATATAATCAAGCGAAACAATGTCAACAAATTATTATCGAAAAGTATAATCATATATCGTTTCATTACTTCACTAATAACACAGGGATTTCTATACGATTTGAACTTTTTGGCACTTATTAGAGGCAATACTCTTCTGTTAAATAAATTTATGGCGAGAATTGATAAATATGTTGAGCTATATAAATGTGAACTGGGTATTTATTAATCAAAACTAATTAGGGTTAACCAATACTTTAATAACAGATATCTTATAGACACCTCTGATTACGTGGATAACTATTTGACGGCTATTTTCTACAGAGGAGTTATATTCAGACATTTAGCTGATTATCAAAAGGCCAGAGAATGTCAACAAATTATTATTGATCTGTAAGCAAATTACTTAACTTGTTACATTATTAACTAATAATCAATTTATTACAAATGTTCATCAAATAATAATCTCTGTCCTTATCAAGTGAATCACGTATTGGCAATCAGTTCTCACTTCCAGCCCAAGCCTACTGTGAGCTTGGTCATATTGAGTTTGAGGTGAAAAATACTGATAAAGCCATTGATTTGCTTAACAAATGTATTAATGACTACACGGGGTATTTGAACGAGAATTATGTGCTTATTGGCAATCAGTTCTCACTTCCAGCCCAAGCCTACTGTGAGCTTGGTAATATTGAGTTTGAGGTGAAAAATACTGATAAAGCCATTGATTTGCTTAACAAATGTATTAATGACTACACGGGGTATCTGAACGAGAATTATGTACATGTTAAATCATTTGCAACACTCAGACGACTGGGTCTTTACACCGAGAAACAGGGCACTGATGATCAGAAATGTATGTTTGTATTGTAAAATGTGTTATCAAGTTAAAATGTATTCATGAATTGATTTAGTGGATGAATACAAAAAACAATGGCTTAAAAACATTAATATTGACGAAAAAAGTTATGAAAAAGTATTGGAAACCGAAGACAAAATTGAAAAATAAAATGTATTGAGAGCGCAGACCACTATTTCATGGCCTTGCTAATTATTAATTAGAATAGTATTGTTATTATGTTAGAAATTACCTAGAACATGTATTAATTATTAATATGTTACTTAACAGTAATATAAAAATTTCCAAAGTTATTCTTATCAGATTTGTAATAATGTTTGTAATTGGCATCTAAAGCAATTACTATTTAAATTAATTATGTAGATTTGATAATCAATTGGAATTATTTATAAATAAAATTCGTAAGTTTTATTATTATTCATATAAAAAATATAAATATCGACGAAAAAGGTTACGAAAAAGTATTGGAAACCGAAGAGGAAGTTGGGAATTAAAACATAAAGATTATTGACATTGGCGTAGTGTTTAAGCACATTATATTGATAAATTAAGTGCAAAGTCGTATTTGTTAAATAATTTTGTAAACTTATTACTTTGCAATATTTCATTTTATGCTGTTTTCAAAAGTAATTTTATCTATATTTATAATACAGTTCTTAATTAATAATTTACATACAATTGTTGCTGTAACCAAATTGAATAATTCATACTCAAAGATTTAGCATTTTTATCGTGACATAGAAATAGGAAATGTGACATTTAAAGTGATTTGTCAAAGAAAGTGGAAATTAATATACTATTTATAAAAATATTATTTTATATTTTCTTACAAATTATTAGTAATATTTAAAATTTAAACTAATTTGAATAACAAATAATGTTATAATTAATGGAAAATCTTTCACATGAATGATATATTGGAATAATCAATTGTTATAAAATTAATTTATATGCATTTTAAAAATAATCTTGTATATAAGCAACATTAAAAGTTACTTTTTGATAAAATACTCTCATTTAATAAAAAAAACTACACACTTTCAATAATAACAGTAGAAATTAAAATAAGTTTGTTATTTTAAAAATGAAAAGGTAATATAATTCTATGCTATAAATATTATGAAACAATATATTTCATATTTTGTTCATTTAACACTGTATTTAGCGATCACTTGCCTATCGATGAGTCCATAAGTTTGGCGAATGAAGTGTTTGAAGATGTGATGAAAAGCAATGATGTGGTCAAAGGGTTGGCCACTATTGAGCCCTATTGTGACCGAAGTGTTTACCACAGTTTGGTTCGTTCACTATATCTCCTCTTGACTGCTGGTACATCCATGGAAAAGGTATGTCATATTGTATTGTAGTTTTAAATTTAACTTAACAAAAGTATTTATAAAATAGATAACACTCAATTCGTATTATACAAGAATCTAAGCTATAAGAACTTTTATTAAAAAAAATTTTTAACAATTTTGTCTTCAAATTATATACGGAGTTTAATTTTCATAATATTTCGTAATAGAATTTAATATAATTTAAATAACAGGTAGACATAGACGCGGCTCAAATAGCTGTCAATGATTTGCGAGACGTTTGCAATAAACACCGAAAGACTGGTTTCGTAGTGAGTGTTATGAAAATGATTAAAACGCCTAATTATGAGAAATACACCGATTGTGAGTTAACATACTTTTATGATTTATATTCAACAAAAAATTTTTAATTAAAATTCATAATTTACAAAAATTTATGTATAGTGGAAGTGCATGCTGAATTAGTACACGCCTTGAGTTTGGCAATAAGCGTGGGTATATTAAGCATCGAAACCCACGGAATATATGCCTTAATTAAACTAGCATATCGTTTGCAAAAGTTTGTCAAAAGTATCAAGTAAGTTAATATTTCCATTCATAATTCTTTACAATTACCTTTATAACACAGTTCATTTCACATTTTATTTTGATGTATTGACAAAAGTAGTGGAGGTATGACAGTAGTATTAATATAATAGAAATTAATAATAATTAATATACAATATGTATTAATGATATAATATAATTGTTATTAATTTACTTTTAAACGCTAACAAATTAACAATTATACTTGTTTGTAATAACCTATCATGTTTATTATATTTAAAGCTATTGTAAGATAATCATGAGAACCCGTTCCCATTGGGAAAGCGAGACATCGAGACTTAATTTTGAGTCGACTGTCCGCTGTTGTAACGGTATCTGCCATCTGGTCATCAGTAATATACCCCCAAAGATACTGCGAATTATAAACTTTCTGGGCATCAGAGGGGTTGAGAGTTTGGGCTGGAAAAATATTAACAAGGCAGCATTTGAGTTACCCGGTATATATAGCCATATATCAAAATTGTGTCTCATATCCTACTGGTGTTACTGTGATACACATGGAGGTTATGGTCCGATAAATGTGGAACTTTGTACGGAATTAATAAACAAGGAACTCACTAAATATCCTAAAGTAACTCATATTTTGATTTTTAACTATTTTTTATTTGAAATATGTTTATTGCGAAACTAAAGGGTATTTATTTTGAATACGATGATTTCGTATTGCAAATTAAAATATTAAACAATCTAATACTTCGATGAAAAGTACACCAAATGTTTACCAATAACGAATATTTTCACGTCACTATCACAAAATCTACATAACATTTGTACCTAGGTCATAATCTTAATGTAAAGTCAGAAACGCGTGCTGTCCTGACAGTGAATGCATTGCAGTGGATGTCAAACAATCAAATCAATGAATGAATGCATTGAATAACAACGTAAGGAAAGCACTAATTTTACCACAACTCAAAATACACGTTTCTGACTTTACATTAAGATTATGACCTATGTACAAATGTTATGTAGATTTTGTGATATAGGCATACAATTTTCATTATTGGTAAACATTTTAGTTTACTTTCCATCGAAATATTCAAATGTTTAATATTTTAATTTTCAATACGAAATCGTCGCATTCAAAATAAATACTCCTTATATACACGCTGCAGAAGTATGTTCTGGATACATTTTACATAAAGATTTAGGTATTGCTTTGTTGTAAGATATGGCCAGAGCTCGAGAAAGGCCATAGGAGTGAAATTTTGTATTCAAAAATAAATTTTGGTATAATAAAATGTAACTCACATTTTGGTTATTGATTGAATTTGAAAATGAATTCAATGACAACTACGAATACATTATTTATAATGTCCTAACATCCCGAGTTAGGTCGCAGTGACCACTTTTATAGCATATATAGATAATCGGTATAGAATAACAAAAAAGTCTAAACTAAATAAATTACATATCTGGGTTCAGATATCCAATGATGTATTGAAGATTTTTTAGTTAAGCCTTTTATAAAAATATAGTCATTTGCTTAACCGTAAGCAACTTTATAAATGTAATAACTATAAAATCTTCAATACATCATTGGATATCTGAACCCAGATATAGTAAATTATTTATTTTTAAAAATCATATCTATTTCGAAATTATGATTATTCTCTAAATTATTAAGTATATTCAATGGAAAATTATCTATTAAATTCATGTATTGTTACCACTTATCGATAATTTAAAATTTCTACTAAAAAGTGGTCAGTGCGGCCTAACCCGAGATATTAGGACATTATACATAATGTATTCGTAGTTGTCATTGAATGTATTTTCAAATTCAATCAATAACCAAAATGTTAGTTAAGACTAGCACTTTATTATAACAAAATTTCACTCCTATTACCTTTCTTGAGCCCTGTATATGGCAGTGTATCTCAAAGAACAAAATTCAGCAGGGATCGACTCATATCTTTAAGAAAGCCACAAAAGTTTATTTCAAAAATCTACTTTAATAATACTCTACAGTATTGTTCAGTATTATAAGTAATATAAAAGTAACTCTTATGTCGTTTTCTTGAAAGGAATATACTGTAGCTTTTGTATACCTGTTCAACAAAAGTGTTTTACTTTGATTTTATATTATTTATACATTTAACAGAATCTATTGCTGAATATATTTCTGGCAAAAGTGGAGCAAATGAATGGCAAAATAGATTCGGCTATTGAATGGTACCTTAGATTACTGGATGACCCACACGTAACACCAAGGCGATTTTTATACTTTGAGCTGACCATGTGTTATGCATTACAATCCAATTGGGACTCATGCATTGAATTCGCGGAAAAGTTTCGCACCGGTAGCTTATATACACCGGCAATTGCTACATACTTGGAAGCGATATTCAGATACGCAAAGATTACATCAACTAATGACCAGGGTGATAGACAAAAGACAACTGAACTATTCGAGTAAGTACTTTAACTACTTTACTTAAGGATACTAAACTTTTAAAACAATCTTAAAAATAATGTATTAAATGTTATTTAAATGTTAGACTTGTGCCGACACTCCGTATCCGACATTTGGGCAAAACTATAACACCTGAAAAGGTGGCGGTAGTCAGGGCTCAGGAGTACATAAAAAATGATGGACTTTTGATTGTCCCGGATTTGGTCAGTATTGACTTGTGCCGACACTCCGTATCCGACATTTGGGCAAAACTATAACACCTGAAAAGGTGGCGGTTGTCAGGGCTCAGGAGTACATCAATAATGATGGACTTTTGATTGTCCCGGATTTGGTCAGTATATATATATATCATATCTAAAATCATATATCGTTTCATTACTTCACTAATAAAACAGGGATTTCTATACGATTTGAACTTTTTGGCACTTATTAGAGGCAATACTGTTCTGTTAAATAGGTTTATGGAGAGAATCGATAAATATGTTGCGCTATATAAATGTGAACTGGGTATTTACTAATCAAAATTAGTTAGGGTTAACCAATACTTTAATAACAGATATCTTATAGACACCTCTGATTACGTGGATAACTATTTGACGGCTATTTTCTACAGAGGAGTTATATTCAGACATTTAGCTGATTATGAAAAGGCCAGAGAATGTCAACAAATTATTGTTGATCTGTAAGCAAATTATTTAACTTGTTACATTATTAACTAATAATCAATTTAATTACAAACGTTCATCAAATAATAATCTCTGTCCTTATCAAGTGAATCACGTATTGGCAATCAGTTCTCACT